TGAAACGAGGAGGTAGTTACATGATTTTCCAAAAAGGTGTTTTCTTTAGGTGAAATTAGAAGAAAATGGATTATATGTCGAGCTATATTGTACCTGTTGTAAAAATTGAATGTTTTTTTTTTAATTATTTTTTAGCTGTCGGCTTTTTTAATCGAACGAATCGTAGTATTAGAATTTTAAAACTATGACTTTTTGATTTTTTAGAATCAAGTTGCATTAATTTAACTATATTTATACAATCACAATGTGACATGTATATTATATATATATATATATTTATTTATTTATAATTTATTATTTTATCGATTCAACAAAACCGCAATATTATATTTTATGAACAATTAGAATCAAAAGCCATGCGATCCAAGCTTAGGTCTTTGACAGCCTTATATTAGTTACTGTATACATATATGTCTATATATATACATATGATTTTTCCAACATACTGCGCGGCGATTACTTTCGGACTTAAAACACAGTAATTGTTAGAATTAAAAACCCTTCCCTCTCCGAAATTAAATTGACTCGATTTAATTATCTAATAACCATAAAGAAAATTTATTGCGAAAAATATTACCTCAGCCAGGGTTTGAACCTGGAACCTCCCTCATTCCGTGTAGGGCGTCGTACCAATTCGACCACCGAGGCATGTGGTAATATTTATCGCAATAGCCGGTTAATAATAGTTTGAAACGTCTTTCTCAGGCGACGTGAATATTTTATGATATTATGATGATATTATATTGATTTGATGATTTTTTTGATGATTGATTTTATGATGATATTATATTTTATGATAAATCAGACTTATTTATATACCTAACACAAATTTTAACTGTTCAAAATTATTTTAATTAATTATATAACGATAAGCTAACAGTATAAAAAAACTTTTAAATAAGGTAGAATGTTTTATTTTTCTATAAAAATGATACATTAACGATATATTATTAAATAAAATGTTTTTAATACAATTTTTTAAATTTAATATTGCACTCTCAACTTCAGAGATATCTTTTTTTATAAAACTTTCGTTATTGTTCCGTGACTGGTATTACATAAGAATTAAAGTTTCCAATATAACAAGGTAAACGATATCCATTCTTATATAATAAATCTGGCGTTACTACCTATTGATCTAGAGGACAAGATGACGCAGCATAATATATTGATTTTTTCTTATCTTTGTTTAATTTCTCGATTCCTCCAATATAATGGAATAATGAGAATTTTTTGTTGTTTTTTTATCTTTACCCAGAATGTAGAGGAGTTTAAAGTAATTAAGTAATATTTATTTAAAGAAAGAAATCTTATGAAAAGTTGAAATAACTGAAATAATGATGTCGTTTAATTTTCACACGAGTGTCAAGGAAGAAAATCAAGAAAGACGTTATTCTATAATATCGTTCTTATTCATTTTTGCAATCCAAAAATTGCATTATTAAATATAGAATTAATTCTAGAAGAATTATCTAACTATAGAAAATAATATTTTATTTGCTACCATTCTGTAACATCAATAATGACTGAAATAAATTTGATGTACAAATACATATAAACCTGAATATGTACATACATACGATAATATGTTATTTTTTACTATTTACGAAAAGACCTGACGTTGTTATTTGAAATAATAAAGGAATGATAAGTTAGACTCGCATCAGATATATGAAAATAATGCGAAGATTTCTCAGACGTCGCAACCTCTATTAAAATTAACAACATTACACAATAGCATTATTAAACTCAAGTCTCCGTTCTTCAATTTAAGTTGAACAGAATCTATTTTTACTTGTCAGAGATAACAGAATTAAAACAGCGCGGTACAGGCACCTTGTCAAAAGTTTACGAAAGCTCCGCGTTAAGGAAATCTTCTGATTTTTTAGGACACCGGCCAGGCGGAAGTGGACGCCGAGAGATCGCCGGACGAGGTCGTCTACGGCGTCGCGTCCGACATCCTATCGAGATTGCCGCAGGACTACGATCTCGCGGTCGCCCTTGACAGGTATCCCACGCTGTACGAGCAGAGCATGAATACCGTGCTGGTTCAGGAGATGGGCAGATTCAACAGACTCCTGCAGACCATCCGTAGCAGCCTCGTGAACATCCAGAAGGCAATCAAGGGTAAAGAACAAACAAGTCCTTGCGCTTCGCTAGTCTTACGGTCCTTCCGAATTCTATTTATATCCGTTTAGGCCTGGTGATAATGAGTCCCGACCTCGAAGAGGTCTACTCGTCGATCATCATCGGCAGGATACCCAAAATGTGGATGACGGATTCTTACCCTTCTCTGAAGCCGCTCGGCAGTTACATACACGATTTTCTGAAGAGGCTGAACTTTCTCCAGGTGAAATTAAGAGAAAACGGATTATATATTGAATTATTTTGCTTTGCCGTAAAAATGAAATTATTTCGTAGTTTTTTAATTGAGTAAACCATAGTTTTTTAGAATTTTAAGACTATCGCTTTTTGATCAAGTTACGCTAATAGTCTTACAATTTGTTATATCTACAATGTGACATCTACATAGTTTTATTTAATATTATTTTATTAATGCAATATAACCGTAGACATTATAATATTTTATAATAAATTAGATTTATTTATATAAAAAAATTTTAAAATTATCTTAATTAATTACATAGAATCTAAACAGATTGTAACTGTTTTTTTAGGCTTGGTATACGGAAGGACCTCCCACATCTTTCTGGATTTCCGGTTTCTACTTCACACAAGCGTTCCTCACCGGTGCCCGTCAGAATTACGCACGAAAGTATTCCATTCCCATCGATTTATTGATCTACGACTTCGTCCCTCTGAAGGACACTGTTTTCGAAAAGCCGCCGGTCGACGGGGTATACATTTACGGGCTATTTCTCGACGGAGCTCGCTTCAACCTGAGCACAATGAAGCTCGACGAATCCTTCCCGAAGATCCTTTACGATACCGTGCCTTACGTAAGTGTCAACACAAAACGAAGTTCAATCTCTTCAAACTAAATTTGATGTTTTTCCGAGTGGTGCTTAAATAATTCACAAATTCCTTTGTGGAAGGGCGCAGAGCTTCCTGCGAAGGACCTTCTGGAACTTTTCCAAAAATGCAACATGTT